TTAGATCAAGAGCTCCTCACCTGCATCAGAACACTTCTCCTTCAGCATTAGCTTAGCACCTAAAATCTCCATTTACACCTCTGACATGAACATTTTTTTCTAACCCACATAACTCTTTGATTTTTTATCTTCTATATTTTATTTATTTTAATCAAGGGGGAAGCACTAAACCCATAGAATTATACAGTGCCTGTGGGGAAGGGGATGGAAGGTCTTCAGGCTTAATTCAGGGAACTGAAGCACAGAACCAGTTCCCTAGATCAAGAGCCCCTCACTAGCATCAAGGAACCTTCCTTGAGGGGTTTATCTTCTATATATTTTGGGGAAAGCACTAGGCCCATAGGTGGGGGTCATACAGCACCTCAGGAATAGGAAATAATCATCTTCAATCCATGGAAGAAAAAGACATGTCTAATTCCTTGGGACAAGATTATTATTATAATAAAAAAGAAGCACTAAACCTTCTAAGGTCATACAGTGTTGCAGGGCAGGAATTGATGCAGGATCAAAGGATAAGCAAAGGTGGAGAGGACAACAAAGGTAAAGTTAGGAAGGGCTGCGAGTGCTCAAGGAAGGATTATCAAAGTTTATGTAATAAATCAGTTGCTGTCAAAAAGCTGAGGAGGGAGTCTGGCAAAGGTGGGGCCATCAGCAAGGAGGAAAGATAAAGTAAGGGTGTTAGAGCAGTGATGGCACTGGAGGAAAATTCTGCATGCTCATTGATAGACAAGATAGTCCAATAGAACATGGAAAATTGGAACTGTAGCCAGACAATTCTCACAAAGTGGAACAGGGCACCTTTCCACGAGTTAGACGAGTGTGTCCGATGCAAAGGCGAGAAAGTGTTGCCTCCCAACCTTGGGACAAGAACCTTTCACCAGCATCCAGGAACCTCCCTCAAGGGGACATATTTCTTGAATTTAATCACTTTTACTTTTGTTTTTTTCCATAGTTGATCATTTAATACTACCACTACTTTTCAGCTCTAGTTTTCAGATACACCCAACTTAACCTCATTTACCCCTCCCCAGCAAAATGAGGTGTGGGGGAGCACTAAACCCATAGGAGTCATAGTGCCTGGGAAAATGGGAGGCAGTCAAGTTCATTCACAGTGGAGATTAGGTATAATTCCTCCTCAACAGCATAAAGGAACCTCTCTTTGAGAGGTACAGAAGAAGTAGAGTACAGGCATGATAATATATATTTCAATACATAAATAACCCACACATAGAAGCGAGGAGCTTACGACGACATTTTGGTCCGACTTGGACCATTTACAAAGTCACAATAATGAAAAGGAGAGGAGGGGTATATATAGGCATGAGCTGGTAGTATTAGTAGTGGAGGCAGAAGGTAGTACAGTGGACCCCCGCATAACGATCACCTCCGAATGCGACCAATTATGTAAGTGTATTTATGTAAGTGCGTTTGTACGTGTATGTTTGGGGGTCTGAAATGGACTAATCTACTTCACAATATTCCTTATGGGAACAAATTCGGTCAGTACTGGCACCTGAACATACTTCTGGAGTGAAAAAATATCGTTAACCGGGGGTCCACTGTAGTAGTGGAGGTAAAAGGTGGTAGTAGTGGAGGTAAAAGGTAGTAGTAGTGGAGGTAAAAGGTAGTAGTAGTGGAGGTAGAAGGTAGTACAACTCCTAAACCAGGGGAAGTCTAATGTGAAGGTGTGACCTGGACGAAGTTTATTTAATACTTATTTCAATGGGAGCACTAAACCTGTATGGGTCTTTCAGCATCTTGAAGAATTAAGGCAATTAGATTCAATCCAAGGGAGTATAGCTCTAATTCTTTGGATCAGGAGCCTTTCATCGGCATCAAGGAAAATGGAAAACACAGTACATTAAGACAAATTATTTTCAATACTACAGAGATCATAGCCTTTTTGGATATGGAAATGTGGCATATTTCTTTGCCATAACCGTTCTACATTAGACTGCCTTTTTTAAGGGTTTATTTACCTTAAAATGTGGTATATTCCATCTAATAAGGCTTGATATTATATAAAAATATGCCTTGCATGCGTACCACACCAAAAAATCCACAAGGCTTCATGGAAAAATCTGAAATACGCTGTTGTGAAATACATCCATTATAGGGGAAAGTGCTATACCCATCAGGGTCATACAGTACCTATCCGGTGCAAGAGAAGGTAGTCAAATATTGAATTACAAGTTAAAACCATAAATAGTGATGAATAAAGAAAAAGGACAAAGGGGTACATTTAAATTTTTTTGTGGGCAAAAAAATTTAGTATATCATGCAGTCCTTTCTGTACTCCATGAAACTAACAATTCCTGCTCTCATTTATATGCTCAAGTTGAACACAGTAATGACTTCTTTCCATCTATTACTCTTTCTCTCACCTATATGGTTTCTTGTAACAATTGCCAAAATATTATTTATGTCAAAATGCCAGGTGCAATGGATTCATAGCAAAAACAAAGTGCTAATCTGGGAAAGTACATTGTTTTAGACTATGGAACAAAATCTCTTCTCCAGGCTGAGGGACTGACCACCTCATAACTACATCTTCAAGGGTGATGGACTAATTACATCGTCTTCACATCTCTACTGCTTCTGCCAACTTTTCTGTATTTGATTGAAGAAGCCTACTGTGTAGGCAATACCTAATGTTGCACATGTGTCTTACCAAATTTGTATTTATACTTTAGAAATATGTTATAAAGTCAAAATATGAAGGAAATTTTGTAATTAATGTAGAAGATAAGAACTTTATTCATATTACACATGAATTAAGAAAGAGAAGATCTACAGAATTAAGAATCATATATAGTATATTATCTCTCTCCCAATCTATTGTGGTATGTATGAAGTGCTTCATATTGTTTGGGACCAAGCCAGATGTGGGAACGCACTGATTGCATGTGAGAAACAGCAGCCTCAGGTGTCAACTTGTACTTCTGCAAAATAAAAAATAAGCATTAAAAAAAGGTGAGTTATCTATGAACAGAACAGTACTGTATATTATATTATTCAAGATTTTAATATAAACATTATAGCTACTAATTCCACAATTACACTTGTTGCAGTAAAAACACTGAGAATATTATTACCATCATAACTAAGCGCTATAGCCATAGGGGTCACACACCGCTGCAACACTGAGAATAAAGCCTAAATCCTTAACATCTCAAAGAATTTTGTCTTGGTATAGATTTAAAGTGGAGCAGTCACAGATGATGTGATCAGTGATCATATCACCTTTAACTCTCCAATGCTTATGTTGTGTCCTCTGTATTCAACTGAAGAAGCATACTGCATAGACAAATTTTTTTTTTTTTTTTTTATTATCACACCGGCCGATTCCCACCAAGGCAGGGTGGCCCGAAAAAGAAAAACTTTCACCATCATTCACTCCATCACTGTCTTGCCAGAAGGGTGCTTTACACTACAGTTTTTAAACTGCAACATTAACACCCCTCCTTCAGAGTGCAGGCACTGTACTTCCCATCTCCAGGACTCAAGTCCGGCCTGCCGGTTTCCCTGAATCCCTTCATAAATGTTACTTTGCTCACACTCCAACAGCACGTCAAGTATTAAAAACCATTTGTCTCCATTCACTCCTATCAAACACGCTCACGCATGCCTGCTGGAAGTCCAAGCCCCTCGCACACAAAACCTCCTTTACCCCCTCCCTCCAACCCTTCCTAGGCCGCCCCTACCCCGCCTTCCTTCCACTACAGACTGATACACTCTTGAAGTCATTCTGTTTCGCTCCATTCTCTCTACATGTCCGAACCACCTCAACAACCCTTCCTCAGCCCTCTGGACAACAGTTTCGGTAATCCCGCACCTCCTCCTAACTTCCAAACTACGAATTCTCTGCATTATATTCACACCACACATTGCCCTCAGACATGACATCTCCACTGCCTCCAGCCTTCTCCTCGCTGCAACATTCATCACCCACGCTTCACACCCATATAAGAGCGTTGGAAAAAACTATACTCTCATACATTCCCCTCTTTGCCTCCAAGGACAAAGTTCTTTGTCTCCACAGACTCCTAAGTGCACCACTCACTCTTTTTCCCTCATCAATTCTATGATTCACCTCATCTTTCATAGACCCATCCGCTGACACGTCCACTCCCAAATATCTGAATACGTTCACCTCCTCCATACTCTCTCCCTCCAATCTGATATTCAATCTTTCATCACCTAATCTTTTTGTTATCTCATAACCTTACTCTTTCCTGTATTCACCTTTAATTTTCTTCTTTTGCACACCCTACCAAATTCATCCACCAATCTCTGCAACTTCTCTTCAGAATCTCCCAAGAGCACAGTGTCATCAGCAAGAGCAGCTGTGACAACTCCCACTTTGTGTGTGATTCTTTATCTTTTAACTCCACGCCTCTTGCCAAGACCCTCGCATTTACTTCTCTTACAAAACCCCCTCTATAAATATATTAAACAACCACGGTGACATCACACATCCTTGTCTAAGGCCCACTTTTACTGGGGAAAAAAATTTTCCCCCTTTCCTACATACTCTAACTTGAGCCTCACTATCCTCGTAAAAACTCTTCACTGCTTTCAGTAACCTACCTCCTACACCATACACTTGCAACATCTGCCACATTGCCCCCCCTATCCACCCTGTCATACGCCTTTTCCAAATCCATAAATGCCACAAAGACCTCTTTAGCCTTATCTAATACTGTTCACTTATATGTTTCACTGTAAACACCTGGTCCAACACCCCCTACCTTTCCTAAAGCCTCCTTGTTCATCTGCTAATCCTATTCTCCGTCTTACTCTTAATTCTTTCAATTATAACTCTACCATACACTTTACCAGGTACACTCAACAGACTTATCCCCCTATAATTTTTGCACTCTCTTTTATCCCCTTTGCCTTTATACAAAGGAACTATGCATGCTCTCTGCCAATCCCTAGGTACCTTACCCTCTTCCATACATTTATTAAATAATTGCACCAACCACTCCAAAACTATATCCCCACCTGCTTTTAACATTTCTATCTTTATCCCATCATCCCGGCTGCCTTACCCCCTTTCATTTTACCTACTGCCTTACGAACTTCCCCCCCACTCACAACTGGCTCTCCTCACTCCTACAAGATGTTATTCCTCCTTGCCCTATACACGAAATCACAGCTTCCCTATCTTCATCAACATTTAACAATTCCTCAAAATATTCCTTCCATCTTCCCAATACCTCTAACTCTCCATTTAATAACTCTCCTCTCCTATTTTTAACTGACAAACCATTTGTTCTCTAGGCTTTCTTAACTTGTTAATCTCACTCCAAAACTTTTCTTATTTTCAACAAAATTTGTTGATAACATCTCACCCACTCTCTCATTTGCTCTCTTTTTACATTGCTTCACCACTCTCTTAACTTCTCTCTTTTTCTCCATATACTCTTCCCGTCCTTGCATCACTTCTACTTTGTAAAACTTCTCATATGCTAACTTTTTCTCCCTTACTACTCTCTTTACATCATCATTCCACCAATCGCTCCTTTTCCTCCTGCCCCCACTTTCCTGTAACCACAAACTTCTGCTAAACACTCTAACACTACATTTTTAAACCTCCCCCATACCTCTTCGACCCCATTGCCTATGCTCTCATTAGCCCATTATCCTCCAATAGCTGTTTATACTTTACCCCTAACTGCCCCCCTCTTTTAGTTTATAAACCTTCACCTCTCTCTTCCCTGATGCTTCTATTCCCCTTTGGGATCCCATCTCCCTTTTACTCTCAGTGTAGCTACAACTAGAAAGTGATCTGATATATCTGTGGCCCCTCTATAAACATGTAACTCTGAAGTCTACTCAACAGTCTTTATCTACCAATACATAATCCAACAAACTACTGTCATTTCGCCTACATCATATCGTGTATACTTATTTATCCTCTTTTTCTTAAATTATGTATACCTATAACTAAACCCCTTTCTATACAAAGTTCAATCAAAGGGCTCCCTTTTATCATTTACACCTGGCACCCCAAACTTCCCCTACCACACCCTCTCTAAAAGTTTCTCCTACTTTAGCATTAAAGGGTCCCCTACCACAATTACTCTCTCACTTGGTTAAAAGGCTCCTATACATTCACTTAACATCTCCCAAAATCTCTCTCTCTCCTCTGCATTCCTCTCTTCTCCAGGTGCATACACGCTTTTTATGACCCACTTCTCGCATCCAACCTTTCTTTAATCCACATAATTCTTGAATTTACACATTCATATTCTCTTTTCTCCTTCCATAACTGATCATTTAAAATTACTGCTACCCCTTCCTTTGCTCTAACTCTCTCAGATACTCCCGATTTAATCCCATTTATTTCCCCCCACTGAAACTCTCCTACCCCCCTTTAGCTTTGTTTCGCTTAGGGCCAGGACATCCAACTTCTTTTCATTCATAACATCACAATCATCTGTTTCTTTTTCATCCGCACTACATCCACGCACATTTAAGCAAAACCCCGTTTTATAAAGTTTTTCTTCTTCTCTTTTTTAGTAATTGTATACAGGAGAAGGGGTTACTAGCCCATTGCTCCCGGCATTTTTAGTCGCCTCATACGACACGCATGGCTTACGGAGGAAAGATTCTTTTCCACTTCCCCATGGACAATAGAAGAAATAAAAAAGAACAAGAGCTATTTAGAAAAAGGAGAAAAACCTAGATGTATGTATATATATATATGCATGTGCGTGTCTGTGAAGTGTGACCAAAGTGTAAGTAGGAGTAGCAAGATATCCCTGTTATCTTAGCGTGTTTATGAGACAGAAAAAGAAACCAGCAATCCTACCATCATGCAAAACAGTTACAGGTTTTTGTTTCACAGTCATCTGGCAGGACGGTAGTACTTCCCTGGGTGGTTGCTGTCTACCAACCTACAAATATTCAGAAATAAAGATACCCAACTGTTGCACATGTGTCTTACTCACCTACCACAGTGACACATCTGTGACTTGTGTGAAACACACATATGACAACAAAGAGCTTTTTGTTCCATTCATGTTTCATGTTCCTGGTATGAACACTAGTTATATTCTAATCAGTGAACTCTGTGTTTTTTTTTATTCTTGAACAGTTCAGTATGTACATGTAATTCTTTTCCTTCTAAATATTGCAGTTTTTCAAATGACTATAATATATAATTACCTGCTAATGCCTTACGTCAATGGGTAGCATAAAACTACGTTTTGTTGAAAGGCTAATTTGTGCCCCTAGGGTATTTTTGAAGTAAGATAACTATTGCAAATCCTAGTTAGTAGGTTGGTAAACAGCAGCTGCCCAGGGAGGTACTACCGTCCTGCCAAGTGAGTGTAAAACGGAAGCTTGTAATTGTCTTACACGATGTTAGGATTGCTGGTGTCTTTTTTTTGTCTCATACACATGCAAGATTTCAGGTACGTCTTGCTACTTCTACTTACACTTAGGTCACACTACATATACATGTACAAGCATATATATACACACCCCTCTGGGTTTTCTTCTATTTTCTTTCTAGTTCTTGTCCTTGTTTATTTCCTCTTACCTCCATGGGGAAGTGGAACAGAATTCTTCCTCCGTAAGCCATGCGTGTTGTAAGAGGCGACTAAAATGCCAGGAGCAAGGAGCTAGTAACCCTTTCTCCTGTATATATTACCAAATGTAAAAGGAGAAACTTTCGTTTTTCCTTTTGGGCCACCCCGCCTCGGTGGGATACAGCCGGTGTGTTGAAAGAAAGAAACTATTGCAAATATATTGGTTTACTGTATCTCTGTATATTACAAACTAAAAAATCATAAATTACACTAAGTGGTACAATGATGTCTTTATACTTACAGCCATTAAGTAGCAGGCAACAAGAGTAGCACTCCTGGTCCTTCCAGCTTTGCAGTGAACATACACAAGGCCATCACTATCAGATTTATCAAAATCTTGGATGAACTCAACACCTTTCTTAAGTTTCTCTTGGCAAGGAGCTTCAAATATATCTACTGTACTGAGCTGAAGAAACTTCACCCCAGAATTTTCCCAGTCCTGAAAAAATGAAGCCGATATTAAGAAACCACAATTAAATTGCAATGCTGCATTTAATTATACCACATCTTAATTTCACATGAGAAAGCGAAAGAAGAGAGAAAAAAAAAAAAGTCGGAGGAGGAGGCAATGGAGGTGGTGGTGGTTTTGCATAAACTCTTCTCAATATATTTCATCTATTTTCAAATGTTAACATTTTTTGAAAGACAAACTTAAATAGACTATATTATTTGAAGCAACTGGTTCTGGCCTGCAATGAAAAATGATACTGTAGATAAATCCAATACACACAAGATGAAAGTTTAGGCAAGATGGAGGAAGTAACAGGGAGACATGAGCAATGAAGCTAACAATGAGAACAAAAATCTCAGTCACACTAGTTACCCCAAAATACCGAAGATTACCCAAAACCATAACTAAGGATCAGTATTAGGGCAGTACTGTTTCTGGTTTATGAGAATGATGTGCCAAACAACTAAGTCAGATGCATCCCTGTTTGCTGATGATATAAAACTGATGAGAAGAGTAAAAAAGACAGGAACTGATAGGATACTCGGGGACAGACTGAGAGACGAGAAACAGGAACTTAGGGACACAGCTGGAAGTTGACACAGATGAGTCACAGGTTTTCATGAAGTATTTCTTCAGTTTCAGGATGGCTGGAAAGTAGAATTATTTCTATGAAGAAGTGGTGGAGGCAGGCTCCATCCCTAGCTTTTAGAGAAGGTACGATATGGCCCACAATGCTACAAGGGAGTGAATCTGGCAAGCAACAAGTTGAGAAGTGGGGACAGGAGCTAAGTCTCGATCCCTGCAGGGTTTTTACTAGGTCTGCTTCAATTATTTTGAAGCCCTAAACAAGGATCGATAATTCCAAGAAATAGGGTAAAGCTTCAGTTTTTTAGTGTGATGATGAATTCATGATGGAGGGCAAGTGTTAGATAGGAGAGGCCTGGGGATATGATTAATGAACAAAGGATATATTGCTTAACCTGCTGTAATACATGAAGTGTTTATTTTGGATTCTGTTTTTAAATTGGAATTTGCTGATTTTTTTGCAAAATTGGCCAAATTACTGAATAGGTGGTTTCTTGTGCTCAGTCAACAGAACAGAAGGCATATTGGTGAAATAGTTAAGAATTTGGTTTAAAATAGGATTAAAAATTTGTGAAACTGCCAATGAGTGAATAGCACCCAGGCTGCCAATTTTGCACCTGTGTAATTCCATAAGATTTACATCACATTTCATATTTTTTTTATGTCTTTATCTTCAGAAAAATATTCTCTACTACTTCAGAAGAAAGAATATTCATAATTTTTTAAAAATCCCTACACAGCACTTTTAATTTCAGGGGTCTTGACAGTGAAAGGGTAAACAAATAAGCAATACATATGTCAATGATATTCAAGCTGATATTCCAATACATAAATATATATTAATGTTGATTTGTAAAGTATAACTAAACTGTAATAAAAATAAAGAAATTAGATTTACCCTTTTCATATTAGAGAGCCATTTTAGTTCATAATCTTCATTCATAGATATCACTCCACGGACTCTCTCTGTTTCCACGAGCTGTAAAAATATGAAGAGTAATTATAATATAGTACGGTATATACAGTATGTATACATGTATATGATCTTTGTACCAACAATTTTAGAGTAATGTATTAAAGCTCAACACATAATGGAAATACTTATAGATTTTAATGACAGCTTTCCAAGAAGCCAACTAGATAAATGGGTGGGCCTATGTAAAAAAAAAAGATTTTTTTTTTTTTTTGACTGAAACCCATAGCAGGTCATACACCAAATGGGCAATGGTTGGTAATCAAGTTTCATCCAAGAAAAGGGATAGTAGCTCCAATTCCTTGGACCATGAACACTTCCCTTCATCAGCATCAATTACTCTACAAAAAACAAAGTACATACTAAGAGAATATTGCAGAAATTGAACAAGAAGCTAGGAAAATTTTTCCACTAGTCATTCTTGATCTTTTTCACACATCACTAACAAATAGATGGGTGTCCTGCATTTATGTAATCCTCATTGATACCAACAGCAAATGCAAATAAGTACTGCATCCCAAAAAAATTACAGCTTATAGATACAGTACAAGAAATCAGATGTGTACAATAGCATTGACTCACCTGCTTTGTCATGCTTTTGAATGGCAAAGCTCCCAGAATCACTCTATTATCAATACGATCAAACCAACGGCGTGATGACACTCTCTCCATAAAAATATTGAATATCAGAGATGGGACGAATGTTACTCGGGCAAACAACCTGCCCATGGTCTTGCTCTTGCTAGAATGAGACAGGGGAGTGAATAACAGCAGCAGAACCTTTGTTCTTATAAATATAGCCAAAGGAGATCACAATCTTGACTGCCTTTCTTCCTTCTAGTTAGCCACAATGGACAGCAGTTATACGATATTTATCTCTTTGAGCCTATATATGCATGTAGTATATATATAAATGGTAAGCCAAAGAAAAGTTTTAGTATCTTGACTATTAAAATTTAATTTCCTTAAAGACCTAGTATTACATTTGCATTACAAGCCTTAATCTGCCATAATCCAACTGTGAAAAAAAGAAAAAACTATTGTACAAACACCCTACACAGTTTTTAAAAATGACAAACATTAACTTTCTTATACATATATTAAAACAATGAAATATCTTCATTTACAGAAGTGCATTACATTTTATATTTATGACAAAAACTATAATTATATTAAAAATTTGATAGCTTCTAATAATTATAACAATAGCTTGAATAATAATAATAATAATAATAATAATAATAATAATAATAATAATAATAATAATAACAATAATAATAATAATAATAATAACTGGGCTGTGATGGATAAGTGGGTCAGCAACAGCCTGACTGACCAGGCAAGCACAAAATGAGCCTGGCCCAAGGCCAGACTAGAAGTAGAAAAAACTCTTGTAACTCATCAAAGGTATATCAAAGGTAAGAAGAATTGTACAAATAATAACAAATAATGAGAATAATGCTAGTACAAATAATAATAATAATAATAAAAGTAATATGAAATAATACAGTAATAATATTAATAATACAGTAATAATAGTAATAACAAATAATAATAATAATGTGTAGTATCATACAATACTCTGGTTGCAGAGGGACTATGAAAAAAAAAGAGGAAAACAACTTATGACATAGAGTTGAGGTAAATATTTGGAATTTACATGAAATAATATATATTACGAATAAAGAACAGTGTAGTCACATAAAACTGGCAGTTTTATGTAACTTGTAACAGATGTGTGGTACACATGGACAGAACTATGTGGCTATCCCACTTGTATTTAGTGTTTGTTTTTAGTATTGTATAATAATAATAACAATAAAAAGTAGAAAGTTAAAAGTGAACATAGATAAGAGTAAGGTGATGAGGGTATCAAATGATTTAGATAAAGAAAAATTGGATATCACATTGGGGAGAAGGAGTATGGAAGAAATGAATGTTTTCAGATATTTGGGAATTGATGTGTCAGCGGATGGGTTTATGAAGGATGAGGTTAACCATAGAACTGATGAGGGAAAAAAGGTGAGTGGTGCATTGAGGTATATGTGGAGACAAAAAAAATGTCATCAATGGAGGCAGAATGGAATGCATGAAAGTACGTATAGTGGTACCATCACTCTTATATGGGTGTGAAGCTTGGGTTGTAAATGCGGCAGCGAGGAGGCAGTTGGTAGCAGTGGAGATGTCCTGTCTAAGGGCAATGTGTGGTATAAATATTATGCAGAGAATTTGGAGTGTGGAAATTAGGAGCAGGTGTGGAGTTAATAAAAGTTTTAGTCAGAGGGCTGAAAAGGGGTTTTTGAGGTGGTTTGGTCATTTAGAGAGAATGGATCAAAGTAGAATGACAAGAGAGTGCATAAATCTGTAGGGGAAAGAAGGCGGGCTAAGGGTCGTCCTTGAAAAGGCTGGAGGGAGAGGGTAAAGGTTTTGTGGGTGAGGGGCTTGGTTTCAGCAAGCGTGCGTGAGCGTGTTAGATAGGAGTGAATGGAGACGAATTGTTTTTGGGACCTGACGAGCTGTTGGAGTGAGAGCATGTTAATATTTAGTGAAAAGATTCAGGGAAAATGGTTGTCTTTCATATAGCCGGACTTGAGTTCTGGAAATGGGAAGTACAATACCTGCACTTTAAAGGAGGGGTTTGGGATATTGACAGTTTGGAGGGATGTGTAATAGGACAGTACAGTATATATATAATTGGGGCCCTGATATTATAGTCTATATGGAGTTTATTATATTATTTCAGGTCACTTTTTATATTGTATCTTTAAATGTGCTTCTAAGCTGTTGTATCTGGGCGCCTTTGCAAAAACAGTGATTATGTATGAGTGAGGTGAAAGTGCTGAATGATGATGAAAGCATTTTTGTTTGTGGTTTTTCTTTCTTTTTGGGTCACCCTGCCTAGGTGGGAGACGGCCGACTTGTTGAAAATAAAATAGAAATACAGTACTGTGCTGTTATTTTACAATATTGCCTAGTATATACTGTACCAGTTCAGAATTTGATACATAAAGAGGGCAATGATTAATGCATGCAACTATAATTATGTTAAAGGCTTACAGCATTGTTGAGCCCAAGGCCCAGATATTGTGCAAGATTTTTTTTTTAATACACTAGCCGTCTCCCAATGAGATAGGGCAAGTTAAAAAAAAAAAATAATGATAATGAGTCGAGTAATGATTTATATTTGGATAGATTTTTGTGACTTGATAGCAGTGAAGACAAATTTAATTAGACGTATGTATGTACATAATCACAAAAATGTACATTAAGTTTATTATTTCCATTTGGGTGTCACCTATCTTGAGGATTATTTCACTGCTTGTTTTATTTTCAAAATATACTGAGTACTATAGTATATTGTATTCATTGTTTCAGTGGTGAAGCCTTGTCATAGTAAAATCACCATTTTGCCATTTATCTTTGATATCATTAACTTCAATCTTAAGATGTAGATTACTACATTTAATGCCACAGATTCTGTACATTCATGTTAGTAAAACACAAAAAAATGTAACCTGAATATTAAGACTTTCATCTCCACTTGCTTTTGTGCATTGTTTAGTAAAGTTCACTACTTTCCTCTGTCATTACTGTATACAGTAATGTCACTGGAAAGTGTTACACAGCATTTGCTCATACTTTATCACTCTTTGAAAAAATATTCCACTGAATAAATTATTAATGCCAGCTACCCATTTTTTAAATTTTTGAAGATATTACTTGAAAAGCAACTGTGCAGGCTACAGTAGTTACTTGTTCAATCACACACTGAGCAGAAGTATTCATCATTATTTACAAAGAAATTCTACAAATGATGGATATAGCTGCCTAATTTGCAAAGAAAATGTATGAATAGTTAAGCAGCAATACTGTAATACAGTGGTACCTTGACTTACTAGTTTAATTCATTCCATGACTGAGCTCATAACTCAAGTTGCTCGTATATCAAATCAATTTTCCTCAGTGAAATTAACTGAAATGCCATTAATTCGTTCTAGCCCCCAAAAAACCCAAGCCTCGAGGGGCAGGAGAAAATGCTTCAATATAACGCTAATATCAACTCTATGGCTTATTTGTCTATCAAAATTGATCTAATAATAGGAGGCCTGGTCACAGACCGGGCCGCGGGGGCGTTGACCCCCGGAACTCTCTCCAGGTAAACCCCAGGTAATATGACATAATAAACACTGTAAGTAACACAGAAACATGATATATACCTTAGAATGAAAAAAGAGGCCATAAAATGGCGAGTGTCCAGGACCAGTCCAAGCATATAAAATCATTACTACTCATTCCTATAATGTGTTCTTTGGTACTGGGTAAGAGAAAATGGAGTTTTTGAGAGGCTAACTGCACTAGATCACAAGTTTCATAAGGAATACACTGAAACAAAAGCGATTTTCCCGGAAAAAAAAATTTCCCGAGATGGGAGGCAGGCCCGCGTTCCCGGTGAATATCTCAGAACTAAGTTATTGACTTATTTCATGAAGCCACCATTTATTACTGAAGTAAATGCAATAATATTGACAGGAATCATAAAAAATGATTGTTCCACAACTGGCTTGTGAAATATTGGAAATATTCCAAATATTTTGGGATTTGTGTGGGAGTAAAGGGCAAGATATTTTGCAAATGTCAAAAACTTGGCAACTTTATATTTTTGTAGAATAACTAAAGATAATTACACGAATGAATGAATGAATGCGTGGGGAGTTTTGAATCAAGTGTGAGAGTAATGGTGGTTGGGGATTTCAATGCTAAAGTGGGTAAAAATGTTATGGAGGGAGTAGTAGGTAAATTTGGGGTGCCAGGGGTAAATGTAAATGGGGAGCCTTTAACCCTTTGACTGTTTTCGACGTATAAATACGTCTTACGAGCCAATGTTTCTGACGTATATATACTCAATAATTCTAGCGGCTTCAAATCAAGCGGGAGAAAGCTGGTAGGCCCACATGTGAGAGAATGGGTCTGTGTGGTCAGTGTGCACCACATAAAAAAAATCCTGCAGCACACATTGCGTAATGAGAAAAAAAAAACTGATCGTTTTTTTGGAATAAAACGCCGACTTTGAGGTGTATTTTCGTATAGTATTTATTGTTGTATTCACGTTTTCATGGTCTTAGGTGATAAAATGGAAAACATACTACAGAAATAGAGATGATTTTCATTACTTTGACAATGAAAACGACCTTGAAACTGAGCTCAAAGTAGCGGAAATGTTCGATTTTTACCAATGTTCAGGAGTAAATAAATCACACCACACGTCCAATACATGTCAACTGGGGAGTGTAATAGTCTTTCACTAGTGCACTGATATTATTTATACCATTTTTACAGTAATGCAGTAGTCTGCATAACAGTAAATTTTGTATTTTTTTGTATGAATAAAAAATCAAAATAGAAAGCAATAATAATATAAGAGGGGCCTAGAGATGTGACTAATGAACAGAGCATATGTTATTTTAGTGCCACGAATGTCTACCTTGTTTATTCTGGACCCTATTTTGAAATTGGCATCTTTTTTAGTTTGTGTGAAATTGGCCAAATTGCCAATTTCTGACCACCATACTGGGTAGTCCAAATTAGTAAATGGGAGGTTTCTTGTACTCAGCTGATAGATAAAATGGAGTTCTAAAGAAATAGCTATGAGTTTGGTCAACTGGAACAATGGAATTGGCTGACAATAGGGCTCAAAGTCGGCGAAATCGCCGATACGCATATGTCGCCGAGACCGCTAACTTC